TTCATCCTTGTCCTTCTTCTTATCCTTTCCGTTCTTTTTGGCACTCTTCAGTGTTGTCAGTGCCCTTATTATCCTTATTCTCTTTCCTCCACCACTCGGGTGCTTTGTCAGGGTTCAGATGATAGCAATTAGCCTTTATATGCCCTGGGACCTTGCAGTATCCGCACTTTGCGGTTGCGGCGGAAGTTGTGTTGTCATTATCATTGGTGGCCGCGTTGGCCTTTGGAGCTTTAGGGCGTCCAGTACCCTCTGATTTACTCATCCGGTGAGCAATTTGTTTTGTGAGATCGTTGATATCTAGGTTGACAATCGGACCCTGACCCGTCCCGTAGAACGTATCGAGGCGTGATTTAACATAGGTCCTCTGATAATCTCGGAGGCCGATAATAAAGAAATCATGGAGGTAGTTCTCACCACGGTCCTCCGTTAGTTGTCGCATGCGAGCAGACAGGTATTGATATCGGCGTACGTATGCCAGGGTAATCACCGTCCTTGACATGCAAGTGGGTAAATTCTTTAAGGATGTTAATCCTTTCTTCCCCTAGGGATATCGCGTATACTGCGCTTACCTTGTTCCATAGGGCCGCCGCGTTGTCGGGTTGAATGGATCCCATGGTCAAACGGACAGAACCTACTAGGGATTGCAACATGCGACGGAAGAGAAGTTTTGAACGTATCACCCAATATCGCTGATCGAGCGATGATAAACCTTCAGGTGGTTCCTGTTGGTTCTTATTAAGAATATCTGCACCACCGATCACTTCTGCATCCGACAAGAACGCCATCTTCCACGTCTGGTAGTTGGTGCCATCGAACGTGGTGACGGACTTTGTGTTCAACGAGGCCTGCGCTTCCTTCTGGTATTCGCGAGCCAGCATGTTCGGATCTTCTTCTGGTATAGGGTTAGGAGGAGGTGGAGGTGGTGGAGGAGGTGGAGGAGGTGGCGGCGCGCGTGCTGATATCAGTCGCTCGCAGAGTGCAATGAGATCTGCTGCTGCCATGGTCACCATGCCGTTAGGATTCGGCGTAGGTATCGGCATAGGACTGGGCGTGCCATCCTCGGATTCCTCGCGTTCTGGCATCTTGCCAGTATCGTGTGCTGAGCCAGAGGTTGTCATATCTTCCTCTGCCATCGCGTATTCAGTTTGATCACCCTCCGCTTCTGAGCCGGATTCTTGCTCAGTAATAGGGGGGAAGGATTGGGGGACCCTAGATTGCGAACGTAGTGTCTTCTTACGTCCTGATATTCGTTTATCGTTAATCGAGAACCACTCATAATCAATCTGACTTAGGTGGAGGTTCT